TATCTTATTTTCATATCATATATCTTATAATAGATTCTTATATCATCATTTGTTTCCTTTCTACCTATTCATAATCACATTAACATGTAATGCAAGCAATATGTATTAATACATACATGTAATCACATAACTTATACCACATGATTCATGTAGTCATTTAGATCATTGTCTTTAACGCATATCCCATAATCACACAATCATCACATAAATTACCATCAAATCACATTTTAGGAGTTACTGCTTACCATAGTAACTCCATCACTAGCTCATCGCAAGCCAATGTTTATTCAATAATATAAGTACAAATTAAATTGTACTCACCTTAGCCTTACTTTGATTCGATTATAATCCTTTGATTATTCCGGAACTTGTTTAGGCTCAATATCTACATAAATATATCATTTCAAAACAACTATCAGAAGCCTAAACTTTAAACTTGATGTTAATAACTTAAACCGGTTTAATGAATCAAATTCTATAATTTTCATTTAGGGGGGAATCGATACCCCCACAGGGGAATCGATACCCCTTGAACATACTGGAATTTTTCGTTCAAGAGGGGGAATCGATTCCCATTCATAGGGTATCGGTTCCCTCTACCCAGAAATTGTATTTTAAGCTCGAAAATCATCAAATTTTCCTTCAATTCTTCTATTTTAAACCCCTACCATGTCATTAAACTCAAATACCATTACTTAAACTAACTTATATCCATGAAAATCCTCTATGACTTCAAAATCCTATCCTTCATATGAAATTCAAGAATCATACTAAAATTTCAATATGTTCTAAATACAATTCTAACACTTCTATCTTCTTATTCTCATGATGACAAGTCAAATTCAACTTAAAATTCAACTTATCAACTCTATTCCATGATTTCATATAAAAACTCATTTTCTTTAATCTATCATAACTCTTTTATCTTTTGCTTTTAAGATAACTTAAGCTTTCCTTAAGCTTAATTATCATCTAGTGATCATAACCCAACTTTTAAAACAACAAATAATTAACAAAATAGCAAACTCACCTTTGATGTGTCTCTCTCTGGTGTAGAAGAACAAAGGAGATGAAGTGGAGAAAATATCTCCTCATCCTTATCCCACATGCCTATATATATCATTTAATTATAATTTTCAAGTCAAATGACCATTTTGCCCTTTAATTCTTTGGATAATTACTATAAACGTTTAGGAAATATTTCCGAACAAATCATTAAACTATTAAACTATTCTACTTTAATCACCATATTCTGAAATTTTACAATTTTGGTCACTAACCCGTATTTTGGGATGTTACATTCACAATTCAAAATTTATTTTCTGAATCAGAACTTATTTCCAGATTCATAACTTATTTCAAACTCATAACTTACTGTCATATTCATAGTTTATTTTCAAATTCATAGTTTATTTTCAAATTCATAGCTTATTTTCAAATTCATAGCCCAATGCATATTTATAAGAATGCAAGATACATGAGTAGAATATAAGGTACGCACAGGGCACATCACGGTGCCAATCTTAACTGAAACATATAATGCACTCCAAGTGCAATCATAACATGAGAATCAACAGTGCAGATCATAATGCACACGAATGTACCATAACTTAACTGGAAAATACTCAACTTAATGGCATGCCAAATGTATCTACGACTCTCAATGCAACATATAATGGACTTTTCCATTAATTATTATACACTATTCAATTATCAAAGATATCAATAAATCAACAAATTCAACTCTTCATATCATAACATAATGTGCAGTTCATACCATAAACATTTCATTTCCACATAACATTTGTATATCATAATCATCGTCAATTATCTTTCTTTAACATATAAACACCATATTCATCATGTAATAAATATCATAACTATCATACCAATTGTAATAAAATTTGACTTATTTCGAGCATTTATAATAACCTATAATATTGGAGTAACATGAAAACATAATTTATGACAAGTTTTATATGATGACAATATGCACTACTTGAAAAGAAATATTATTCTGTATTAATCTACACACTTAAAAATTATCCGTTTATACCACTATAAATTAGACTCAAATATGAATCTAACTATATAAGGTACTTTTTCTAGTTCATATTATACAATTTATAGTGAATTTTCAAAGTTTACCTACAGAAGTTGTTTTGAGCAAAATCTGCTGCCCTGCTTTATGACCTATCCTCAATTAAAATTTCATATCTTTTTGTATACCTATCGAAATCAGTATCCATTTGTTTTAAACGAAACTATAGTAATATACGAATCCAAAGATCTAAAAATCATCTTCTAATAATTTATGTATAATTTATGACGATTTTCTAAATTTACTGTTCATAACATAAATCTGGGCAGATTTACTAACTTATATTTTCAGCTTATTCACTAATTCTATTATCATATTAATTGAACATATGTATGAATCACAATTCACAAAATAGTTAGAAGTTACTTCTTACCATAGTAATTCTGTCACCAACTCATCACAAGCCAATGCTTGCTCGATAACATAAATACGAATTGAATATGCACTCACCTGGTGTCCTTAGCTTGTAAACCTTCCTAGCACTTCATATAACGTCCTTAAGCTTCTCATTAGATTTAAAATTCCTTGATCTTGATTTCAATCATAATCTAAATGTACACCATTTACATAACATATTACATTTCAAACTATATGTTAGAATCTTACTAACATAGGCACACAATAGAAAATAAATTCCTAAAAAACCTTTCGATGTTCATTCGATACGAACTTCAGATCACGTCATCAATGTTGACCTTCATACTTCAAATTGACCAATAAATCCCTTTTTATCCAAATTCACCAAAACTTCACATAACATTTTCAACTTTCCATTTTAACTATAACATTTTCAACTTTCCATTTTAACTACCATTTATGAATTCTTTTAGAATTCATATCAACTTTCCATTTTATTCCAAATAGTTATTTGTCTTTTAGCTTCAATTCAAGTTTCAAACAACTTAATTAAATTTTCAGCATCTAATTTTCAGCTCAATAACTCCACTATTACCACTTAATTCACTAACTTTCTCAATATTTGCCATTTAGTATTCAAACTTTGCTAACTTTCCAAAATACTCTAATTTCACATTCTAACATTAAATTCAATATTCTAACTTTCAATTACAGCATAGTACATCATCTTTCTAGAATTTACACATAAACCCCATACTTTTTCATAATTTTTGAATAGGTCCCCCAACTTTCATAAAATTACAAAATAGCCTAAATAACTTTCTAAAGCTTGTAGAACCTTTCAAACATCATTTTTAAGCCCAAGGAAATTTTTCATATTTTCCCCCCAATTAATTCCTTAGGGAAGAATATCATAGTGGTTAGAGTTCTTGATTTTTCACTTGATTCAAGCATGGATTTCACCTCTAAACAACATTTCAAGGCTTCTACAATCAAGGCCCGAACATAATTTAACCAAATTATAATTTTCTCAAAACCCTAGGTCATGACCAAATGAAATTTCACCCATTTTCAAGTAGTTTTAATCATCATACAAGCTTTAGAATTAATCTCCAACATAAAAAACATAAAATTCTTTCATCAAATCCTCAAAATCAACAAATCTTACATAAACCCTAATTTCTAAACTCATCATATAAGCATGATCTCAATGTAATATTTATACCAAATGATAGAGAATTTCAAGGGGATTAATTCTCTATCTAATAGCTTAATCCAATAATCAATCGAATAAGCTTAAAAAAAAAATCTTACCTTATAGCTATGGTGGTGCACGTTTTGGGTCTGGAAGAAACTGAAAATTTCTGTTTTTCTTCAATTAAAACATAATACGCTTGGCTTAATCTAATATAAATGAATTTAAAATTCATTTAATATGAAATTATCATTTTACCCTTAATGAAATATGATAATTTCAACTTGCCATTGCATTATCATCCCTTTTAATAATCCAAAGTCAAATATGAACAAATAAAAATCCACTTTTCACCTTTTCCCTTGCTAATTTTCAAATACTGCAATTTAGTCACTAATTTTTCCAATTTCAACTAAATATGTAAAGTCGACTTCAATTCCACTGATCCACATTAAATTTCACTACTCTAAAATTTGGAAATAATATTTTCAACCTTTATCTATCATCCTTCAAATTTTTATAAAATTTTGGTTTGATTCGATTATCCGATTTTCTTTCGGACTTTACTGATTTATAGTTTTTAACACAAATTTTGGATCAAAATTCCGATTCCCATGAAAACATCATTCTTGAGGTTGAACTATTCATTTACGGGGTCAAAATACCTAACTTTTAAAAATTACCCTTTTGGTCCCTAAGCTTTTCCAACTTTCTACTTTGGCTACTAAACTTTCAAAATTTATATTTTGGTCACTAATCAATATTTGGGGTATTACACAGGTAAGAACTTCTGATAACTGTTAACGAAAAGTGGCTTGATTGAATGCATTTAAATAGTAGGGTGACCCGATTGATAAAAATTCAAAAATGGTGGTCGAAATGAAAAGATGCTATAGTTAGATGGTCATTGGTATAGTGACCAAAACTTTCAGAATTTCTACTTTGTCTTCTAAACTTTTAAAATTTATGTTTTGGTCAGTAACCAATATTTGGGTATTACACACGTAAACACTTCCCATAACTATTAATAGCAAGTGGCTTGATCGAATGCTTTTAAATAGTAGGGTGACCCGATTGACAAAAATTCAAAAATGGTGGTCGAAATGAAAAGATGCTATAATTAGATGGTCACTGGTATAATTTACCCTATTTTTAAGTATAAACTTAAGAGAATGTGTCTGATACCAATTTGAAAGAAAAACTCTTTATGTGTCAGCTTAAGAGAAAGTGTTTAATTCAAGTGTCAAATATATTTAAACAATTATTAAAATTTCCCATCGATTTTTGAAATTAAGGATGGAAGGCAAACACAAAAATATTCTTAACCTCTTTATATTATCTGAAAGAAAGAAAAACATAGCAGAGCAGCCGAAGCTTATCCTTTTGGCGGCGCCCGTTTGAACGAACACATTGCAGTTTGGTTTTGAAGCAACCAAAATCTCATTTTTATTCATGGCAGTCTCCAATTCTGTTCTACCCATCGTCCCTTTTAGTATCTATTCATCTTCATCTCCTGTAAAAAACCATCACCAAAGCAGCTTAATTCTGAATCAGCTCAGCTCATTTAGAGGGTTGGCTATCAACTGTTCAGCTTCTTCTGATATGGGTGCCTCCTCACTCCCAGACCCCATGAACTTGAGGTATTTTCCAGCTGTATAGTGGTCTTATTTCCTTTTTGGTTATGTCTTTTTAATGTTTGTGAAAATGCCTATCAAGTGTTGAGACTTCGTTTAGGGCTTTGAATTTTGATGTTATTGTTAGTAGGAGCGAGCAAATCTCGATTTGACTTGGAAAATCGATTTTTTAACTCGATGTCACAAAATTCGAATTGAACAATTTTATAATCCATACTCAAAAATTTTAAATTCTGAGTTGAGTTATAAATTAAAAATCAAATAACTCAAAATTTTTAATAATTAATAGATTGATTTTCAAGTCTAAGTCGAGTATCTCAATTCTACATTTTATATGCATATTATATATAAAAAAATATGAACGAAATATATATGTATATTATATATGGTTATAGAAAACCATTTAATTATAATCAAATAGTAATATAATATTATAAATATTTATAATTAAATTTAAACAGAAACTCGAATAATTCGACTTAAATTTCGTAAACTCGATTCGACTTGAAATAAAATTTTAGTTATAAAATAAGAGTCAACTCGAATAATTCAAAATTTTTTAACTTAACTAGATTGAATATTCACCCCTAACTAATTGTTAGAATTTACTGTAATCTTCAATATATGTTTGTAATTCTGGTATTGTTTTGATAGCAAGTGGGCAACTTCTATGAGGATGAAAATTTCAAAGCCTTCACTTCTGTGTTTATCAGTAGTTACTGGAGAGTGGAGACTATTTTTATGCACTGTGAAAATGGTTTTACTCTTCAGCTAACATCTGTCAGTTTCATCCAAATACGTTTTTCAGTTACTATGAGTCATGTAAAAACAGATGATGAAATATGGTTGCAAGGGAAACTAACATTTAGGCTTTGCTTGGCTTAATGGGAAAATGGAAGGATGAAGAGAGGGAGTGAAACAGTGGCAAGAAAATAGTTTGGGTGTGCTTGGTAGAAAAGAGATGTGAGAGGAAAGAAAACGAGTGGATATCATTTTACAGCCACGTGTAAAAACAAGTCATTTTAGTTTAAGGGGAAAAGAGGAGGTAGAATGTGGTAGAGATATAAATTAGTTCAAAATTATGTTGTTTTCAAAAGCTTTATTTATTTCCTCTAATTTTTCAGTTCTACCAAGCAATGAATGGAACTTTTCCATCTTCTCTACCAAGCACCCCTTTGAAACTTTCCACTTTTTCACCGTTTAATTTTCCATCCTTCCAATTTTTAACTTAGCGAATAGATATTAATCTTGAACTATACGTAAAGCTGGTTGCTTTCGTGTGATGTTGTTTTAAGAACCTCCTTCTATTTAATACTTTGTGACATTGATTTTCTCCTTAGGCGAATCTTTTGTCTAATGAATCAAAATTTTCAGCCACTCCTTGTCTTTTTCTTTTTCCTTTTGTTTTCAGTATGTCAAGGATGATATGAATTATGATAGTCTTTCGTGCTTGAGAGTTGAATATCTTATTGCTATTTTCAAAGTTACTGAATTGAAATTTTTGATCCATACATGTGCTAAAGTTTTTCGAACAATTAATTGGAGTCCTTTGCAGCCCTCCTAAGCACTTGGTTATATTGTTTTAACAGGCACAACCATATGTCATCTCTGGCTCCCTTTGGAGTGCAAATGAATGACAATCCATCTTACAAATGGCGAAGGGTTTTGCTTAAAGTAAGTGGAGAAGCATTAGCGGGAGATCACACTCAAAACATTGACCCAAAGGTTGTGACGTGAATAGTTGTTTTACTCTTTCTATTATTTATTTTCTTCACAATAATTGAAGTGTGAAGCTTGCTTGAATACAGATTACAATGGCTATAGCAAGGGAGGTTGCATCAGTGACTCGCCTGGGCATTGAGGCTAGTCTGAAGCATCTTCTTTCATTTATATGTTCCATGGCCATGGCCTTTTCTTTCTCCATTAGAATCCTCTTTTAGTGGTTGTATAGAGGACACAACATTCTTTCTGTTTCTTTAACCAATTTAATGCTTCTTTCAGGTTGCAATTGTGGTCGGTGGGGGTAATATTTTTCGTGGCTCCTCTTGGGCTGGGTGTAGTGGACTTGATCGTTCATCTGCCGATTACATCGGGTAAATATTTTATTTGATCCAATTTTAAGTGTTTTAGAAGTCTTTCTGGTTTTGAACAGAAATTGTGTTTCCTTAAAAGACAATTTATATTTTTTGCAGAAGATATTTATACCTAGCTACATTGTGGAAATCTTCTCTCTTATGTGTATTTTGTATGCCTTTTCTCCTTCTAGAATGCTAGCAACTGTAATGAATGCTATGTTTCTTCAAGCGACAATGGAGAGCATCGGCATCCCAACACGTGTCCAGACTGCATTTCGTATGTCAGAGGTTGCAGAACCATATATACGTAGAAGGGCCGTGAGGCATTTGGAGAAAGGGAGGGTCGTCATTTTTGCTGCTGGAACTGGTAATCCGTTCTTCACCACTGACACTGCCGCAGCGCTTCGCTGTGCAGAAAGTGAGTCATTTTTCCCTCCATCCGAATGCATACTAACAGATTAGGGGGAATACAGTATCCGGGGTTGGGGGCAAATTATCCGCTCCATTGTCACTTTTTAAGCATATTATATATAACCCTACCCCTAGGAATATAATTTTATTGTCTATTTGTTTTCCCAGTCAATGCAGAAGTTGTGTTGAAGGCCACAAATGTAGATGGGGTATACGATGATGATCCTAGGCGTAATCCAAATGCCCGGCTTCATGACACACTGACTTATCATGAGGTGACTTCAAAAGATCTCTCGGTGATGGACATGACTGCCATTACTCTGTGCCAAGAAAATAACATTCCCGGTTCGTTCAAACGTCTGTAATCTGTTTTTGAGTTAACCCAACAAGCAACAGCTGAAGGAAGTAGCTATTAACTTATCTGAAGTATCTTTCCGTCAATGCAGTTGTTGTCTTCAACTTAACAAAAGCGGGGAACATCGCAAAAGCAATTAAGGGGGAGAGTGTCGGTACATTGATCGGCGGAACATGGAATTCAACAGTGGCAACGGCATGAACAAGATACTTTGATGTTGTTGTAATTCATTGATGAAACATAAGCATAATGAGAGCTTTTCCAGGGTAAGTTTCCTGGAGATTACATATGAGGAACTGAAGCAAGAAATCAAATGCACTCTTTTGACTGATGAAATGCTGGTTTCTGCACAAAAATATGTGGATCGCCGACACTTTTGAAAATTGTAGCCATCTTAATCAAACAGTTAATTATTGAATGATTTCTATATCAATCTACTTTG